GTTCATGAATTAGTTCGAATACCTTCTCTATAAGAGCTAGATTTCTATGAGAAAAGCTTTTGCATGCCTCTTATAAAATGTTTTTCTATTAGCTTCTGAGAAATTAGTGCAGTATCAGACCAACAAAAAAAAATTTAGATTATTTCTTCGATATTCTAACAATTTGGATAGTTTTTTAAATTTTATTTCCAGTTGAATGCATTATATTTAATAATTATCTTTATTTTGAATAAAAATATTATTAAAAGTTATATAAATTATTAAATTAATTCAAACTTAAACTTACAAATCCTATTTCTATAGGGCTAGATGAAGAATATTTTGATGATGAATTATAATTTTTTTTTTTAATTTCATCTCCTCTACTCATTTAAGAAAAAAACCTTTTACATGATCCTTCAATAGAAGATTTCTATCAGCTCCATGGAAATCAATGTAACACAAGACTAGCATAAGAAACAATTCTAAATTATTTCTTGAAAATTTTCATTATTTGGATTATTTTGAGAATTTTATTTCCATTTGAATTTATTAACTTCTATAATTATCATTATTTTAGATAAGAGGATTTTTCAAAGTTGTCAAGATTTAAATTTAACGCACCCTATTTGACTAAATAGTATCAGATGAAAAATATTTTAATGGTGAATCAAGAAATAAAATTGAAAAATTTTTCTTTAATCTATGCTTTCTCTTTTTCTCAATCAAATTCCCTCCACGCAATCTCTCGTTTCCTTCTTGAAAAATCCTAATTTTTAATTTCAAGAATTAATCAAGATCAAGATTTTAAATAATTTGGACTTACCATTCGACCTTGAGTATTCAAATAGAGATTTAAATAATTCTAATTTAATGACCTGTGATGAATTAAAATTAAAGAAATTGATGTTTAAAAATTCTATTATCTCTCTTTATTTTCTACTCTTTTCTTATAGCAATTCTATGTTCTAGCATTAAGGAGGAGAATTCGGAAAAGGAAGGAGAAGGTCAAGTAAAAGGTTTGGTTCCATTTTAGATGTGGTAGGGGTTAATGGGGTAGGTTAAGTTTGTGTGATTGATAGTTAAGGTTGAGCCTATATGTTAGAAGAAATTTAGAGGGTTGGCATGGTTGGGAGGATTGAGGAGGCTAATGTGGAGGATTTGGCTCGGAGAATTGAAGGGGTTGGCGTAGCATATTTTAAAGGACTAGAGAGTTTAGTGGGAAGGGATTTGTGTGGTTATAGGATTATGTGGCAATGGAGTTGCTATTCATTCAATTAAAAATAATAATCTTGTGGTGTATAGTTTCAGAGTGATGCTAAAAGATATCCTCATTGACTATCATATATAGCATCTTAATAATTAGGTCAATAATTACATGCATAACAAATACATGATCATAATCATTCAAAATATCGATGCATCAAACTTTCATTGCTATGCTAATCCATTTTGTGCATGTCACGTGTTTTACATTAAATACATAAGCAAGTGCAACAAGAAGTATCAAGAGACTAATAAAAGTTATCATCCACAAAATAGAAGGTATTACATTTTTTTAATTTATACCAATTGCATGAATTGTGTGCAAAGCAAGCATGTAGATATGAAAGTTATGATAGTATGCACGTTGCATTGGGTATGGGGAACTAGAAGTATAGGTGTGTTATGGGTGAATTGATGGGCTCAAACACCACCAAGAAAAGCATGCAGGTGTGGACAAAAAAATATTTGTGCGGGGTAAACAAAACAAAGGAGCAATAAGCAATTGTCGATCATGTGACCTATGCATGTAGGGTGGTCAAACACCGATCAACCATGTTGGAAATTATGAGTGGCACATAAGAGTGTGAACAAGAATAAAGGGAGACAAGCATAATAACAGGGTGAGGTGCAATGTGAAAAACGTCCATAATGCAATTAAGAAAGAAAGCAAACCAACAATAAGTAATTGGAATGCACACAACGATGAATAGGAAGTAGCCTGACCATGTTCAAAGGCCAAGGGGTTTCGAACAACTATTAAAACATTTAACCAACAACATAATCAAAATGGTGAGGGGCCAAAAGCAAGAAACTATGATTGCATATGTAAGTGGGCGGGACAACAAAATACAACATGCATGGAAAAAAAGCAAAGTGACAACAAAAACGCACAAAGCTATAGTAGAGTAAATACAACTTGGGATGAGATTGTACCGACAACAAACCCAATTAGAAATTCAACTGTGATGATACCAGAGCTCAAGAAGCATGTGTGTGCTACAAGCACATATAGCTTAGACTAAGTGAGGTTGCATTACAATGCCGAATAATGGGTTAGTCAATGTAACAATTAGAAATACACAAAAAAAATAGGGGGGAGCAAAGAATAGCCTGAAATTCCATCAATCTGAGGAAATTGAAGTGCGTCAAGCAATGAAAAGGGAGGAAGGATTATGAATTTGACCTAAAACCAATTAATGTAAACAAAATCCATTGAATCAAAGTTGAACTGCATCATGTGGTACAACATTATAGATAATTTATCCTTAGCAATGGCCCTACAATGGCCATAAGTGGGAGCTAGAAGTAAGCTTGCATTTGATTGATGTTGGATGTCCATAACTAATCTTTAAATTACTTAAAGGGTAATGATGAGTCAAATATAAGGAAGATTTAGAGTAATTATAGTAATGGTGAAGGGAAGTGATGAACTAACATATGAAAGGCTTATAAGGCTTTAAGATAGCATGGACATAATGAGTGCAGGAATTTTAGTTGAAGATAGAATTAAGAGGAGGAAGAGAATGACAAGAGATTAGTAAGGGAATATATAGAGGTGGGAGAGAAAGGAGGGGGGATGATGATGAAGGGGAGGAGAGGGGGTAATTGAAAGAGATGAGGAGAGGGTGAAAGAAAAAGAAGAAAAGGGATAAAAATTAGGATAAAATCACAAGAAACCAACTAAAAACTAACATATCCCCAATCATGGTAGAAACATAAACAAATATCAAACATATATAAACTAGTCCAACGGTCCATGATTATTCTACAACATCTCCCCCCTATTAACCATTTAAGCCGGAGGAATGCAAAAAAAAAAAAAGACATCTTTCTTTTGGCTGAAAAAAAAAAAAAATAAACAAAATCCTAAAGGGTGACATAAGTGCTCAATCTTTTGTAATATCCCTTAATCTATCAATTGTTGAAAAGAAGCCCACAATCATGCCACTAAAGCACAGCCCTTGCCATGGTTATGTTCACATAAATGATATTAATTTTCTTTAAATATATTCCTCATTTCCAAATTTGATAAAAACAATGCAAAATGTGAAACACGAACAAAGCTTATAATTATTCTTCAGTCTTCATGAAAAGTTATTAAATTTATTGGTGTGCGCTTTCACCTCTTATTTGCTAAATTTTAATAGACTGGCATCCCACGCTTCTATTATTGTCTCATTAATCCATTTTGATGCATTTCAATGTCATTCTAATTCATGAAAAACTTGTTAACAAACCTTGCTTGCAAATACATCCAATTTCCAGCAAACCCCTCCTAGGCTTTCCATAGATTCATCAAAATCCACTCAGTGATATTGTACGATGCATGAGCATCATAAGCTACTATAACATAACCAAATCCACATGTCACAGTTCATACCATTTCACATGTTTGTAAAATCTTTAGGTCTAAGCTTGCTATCTATCCTAATTGCAATTTCAACCCACACTTAAGACCGCCAACTTGTGCCAGTATAGAGCACTTACATAATTTTCAGTCTTTATCGACCAAAGACACGTCTCTTTCACTGAGTACTATATTTTGACAATACATAGAAGCCTGACATGATAAACTGAAACTACTAGAAAGTCTGAAGGAAGATGATACATATTCTAGGTATAGCACAGCACAAAGAATGCTCTAGTCCATCTTTGATTAGGAATAGCTAAATTCAATGAAACCTCAACTCATGCGAACCCAAGATAAAAAACTTTTTAATAAATAAATTTAGATTTCATAAAAATAACCACTTGTCTTTTGCAGGAATCAAAGGCCCTTTTAAAGTATTTTTTTATGTTTAAGAACCCTAACATACCTTTCAACATTCAAAAACCACAATGATAATAACATAAATAAATCTACCAACATTGAGTATGCTATAATCCTAAATACACAAGGCAAGTCATGCTCAATCTCTTTCAAAAAAGAGAAATAAATTGGTAGAAATATGTTACATATCAAGAATCCGAACATACCTTTCAACATTCAAAAACCACAATGATAATAACGTAAATAAATCTACCAACATTGAGTATGCTATAATCCTAACTACACAAAGCAAGTCATCCTCAATCTCTTTCAAAAAAGAGAAATAAATTGGTAGAAATATGTTACATATCATGAATCCAACCATCAACGTGGCAATTCACATCCCACAACAGCATCAATTATCATGATTCTCTGACAGTTCTATTGGTTTACGCTTAGTGTTTGCATTTCACAATATTCTGAAATATATGCTTCAATTTCTCCTGGTCAATTAAATGTTGTTAAGAAAAAATGCCAACAAGATGCAGCAGTCGGGCAACACAAAAACCCGCACAGGAGCATGTCAGAGCAATGCATGACTGCTTTAAAAGTGTCCCCAAAAAATCTCATTGCAAGTTGCAACCACTGCAAATGAGTACCAGTGTCTAAATTCAGCAAAGTTATTCATATTTATTGAGTTATGATTCACGCGTCTGACAAAATCCCTAAAATTCAATCGACCTTCTGCATAGAATCCTTAATAAGCCAACTCCATACATATATATACCATTACGTGATTTCAACTGTTCCACTTACACCCTAGTTGAGCTTTCCTCTACCGAGATAGAATTTCATCCAACAACCTACCATCATACCTAGCAAGACGGAAATCGAATTCCTCGTTTTCCAATTCCAAATCCTGAACATAATCAATTATTAGACAATAACGGTGACAGCCACGGAAGGAAACTGGAAAAACGGTGGAGAATAAGCGGTGGATAGACACCTGCCGGAGAAGATTTTCGGCTATTCGATAATAATAGTGGAGGGAGATCCGGTTGTCCACCGCCACCTTCTGAGCCGAAGCGTTGATGTTGATCGCCCGTAGCGTCGACCGCGCCTTGCCCGCTGCCGGCATCCCCCGCCGGCTCTCCGTCGTCATATCTATCGACCTCTAACTTCCTCAGAGAGAGAGAGAGAAAGCTGGCGGCGATTGCAGCCAGAGATCGCTGAAGGTCGCGATTCACGAACTAAGAATGTTGGGCTTTGTTCCACGTGAGGTAGGGTGCAAGACGCGCTCAGAATGGATCTTTAGTGCAGCGAACCTTGGAGAAGTAGCGAGAGGGTAGCTTTTTCACAAAGTAACCTTCCATATTGTTAAAAGCACAATTTTCAATTTCATTGACTTATATAATTAATATCTGCTTATTTTTATTTATAATAATATCATTTAAATTTCCTATGGAGCCTCTGTTAAGATATTAATTCATTCCATTAAAGACAAAACTCCCAATTACTTTAGATTATATGTGAATTAGTGAGTCTTTGGGCAGGAGAAACATCATCACAACTGTTGTTACAAAATTGTTGTTGGAATAAAAGTAAGTCTATTATAAATAATCTTCTAGATTGCATTTGTTTCAGATGAAAATATTATTATATTCTTATAGATGTAAATTAGTTGAATGATTATAGTTTTCAAATAATTGTAACATAATAATAATAATATATTGAACACGACAAAAAACATACAATATGTCCAAATTTCTCTAATACATCAATTATAAGTCATAATTTTTTGCATAATATTGTAATAATAAAAATCACAAAAAGTAACCATTAATGCTATAATGATGTTCGTCTTCATGTCAAAGTGATCAAATCTTTGGGATAATTTTATGCCAATAACAGTTCTCTCTCCTGACTTATTCTCCATCTGGAGTGAACTATTTTATATCATTAGCACATCAAAAAAACATGTAATCTTCATGTGCCATATTTTTTAGATAATAAAATCTCGTCTCATAGTTGTGTTATTTTTTTAATGTATATTCAGAATAATACGTACCGCAATGACAATATAGAGCTCTTGAAGTACTTGATAACATTGAACCTTTTTTTCTTAGATTACAATACATTATGCTTTTAATTTACAAATTACGCTACATATGAAATATAACAATAACGAAAAAAATTATAGTTTATCATCAGAAAAGACCAAATATAAGGAATAATATACATCTCTAAAGTTAAGACCTTAAAATAAAAATATTGAAACATGTAAGAGAAACTGGACATCAATCATTCCTTAATACATCTGAAATAGCAAATATCAATTCAAATACACTACAAAATGTTAATTAGATATACTCGATGAATTCACTATGACATCTGTAATGTCTCATCTCAGCTGAATTATTTCTTGAACACCCTCCACATCGGGTCTGTTGAAGTTATTCACACCAAAGACTTTCTCGAGCAATGATTGTCCTGCTCGATGTTTGAATGCTTCTACAAGTATGCATGTTGGATCTTTATCTAAAACCATGAAATCAACATCGTCCCAAGATGCATGTCTCCATATAAAATTATGTAAAGTTGTCATTGCAAGAACTAACTTTATCTCTTTTTTGAAAGAATACACTGACATATCTAGGAGTATGACATTCTTCTTTCATATATTGAATGCTCTCTTGATAACGCTCCATAATAATGAGTGTCTTTTGTAAAATAATCCATTTCTCCCTCTAATCATTTTGTTGATGCTCTCAAAGTCATGAATGTGACACCTCGTATCAGGAAAATGACTTTAAGAAACCATGTTGCGTGGGATATCCTGAATCAACGAGGAAATATTTTTTTGAGTAATAATATTAATAGTATATCTCTTCAAATCTAACGCTTCATATAAGGTTGTGAATGTACTAATCGAGTGGAGCCATTGAAAATTTGTCTTCATGTGTGAGTTAATTTAAATATATGACTATCATAAGCACTTCATTCTCATCCAGCCATTAAGAATATAAAATATATGTTGAAGTTGCAAACTGTTAAGATATTTTGGGTTGTAGATTCACAATGTTCAATATATGCAATCTTGTCATTGTCATTATCGATAGCTTATAAACACTTCTATTTAAAATAATCATTTAAACATTTTTTTGTAAAATGTTGATGAAAATTAAATAGATAAATCAATACATTGAAGAACGACATGTTTCACATGTCGTTACAGATTTCTCTTAGAATATGCACAAAAGCAAGATTTATGGATTTGATAATGTTGTTTGACATTCTAACAAATGAGTTAGCCACAATATCAACAAATCTACTAATCATCTCTGTTGAGTTTAGAAATCAGTCGAAAGAAGCACAAATGAACTCGTTTTGCAAAATAATATTTAAGGTGATAGCTACTACTTTAAATCAGGATAATCCATGCAAACCATAATTACTCTGCAATTCATCTATAAAATCACCACAAAATTTTCCCATCATCCAAAAAATACTATGAATTCTGTCTGAATGATCTTGGAGTAGGTCACAAATCCAATTGTCACCCACATATGACGATGACACACACACTATTGCACAAATTTATATGATTGTACTCATTAATAAGATATATTGTAGTGGTCAGAATTATTGCTCGTTCTACTATCTTTACAATTTCCTCTTCATTTGATGGACATGTCAGGCTATTTTATGCATGTCATAATATATAAAGAATAACAAATTGTGTTATAAGCGAACAACTACATTACTAAAATACTACAACCAATGAAAATCATACATGACGAAATGTCACATGAACACAACACATGATATTGTTTGGCATAAAGTTTAAATTATTAAACGCTAATGAGAAACATAAATAAATAAACACAAACTAACCAGACTTATTATTAAAAAATATCAAAGGAAAGGAATCCTCCTTTTTGCACCATCGTCATGAAAGCCTCTTGATTTGTTTGATCATCTAATAGATTTATAAAGAATAAATATATGAACATATCATCAAATATCTCGAGAGTAGAGTCTAGTAGCTTCACTACTTCTTCCATTATTGGGTTTCATGAATAGTCGTGTGAGTGTTGTATGTCATACTAGTGCAAGTCGTAACGAGCAATGAAATTTGCTCAGATGAATATTGGGCGTCGACCTTCATTTCTTTTATGCTTTTGGGTGGAGGGTGTAAAGCTCTTGGAATGACTTGATTCACATTGTTCTCTCTCCTATGGTGTTTTCTTGGACTTTAATTGAATTAGCATATTCAGGTTCATCTAAATTCAGGGGAAAGTCCCGTGTTGTTGCCCAAATATTGGAGCTTGTAGCCACAACACCAAGAAACATAAAATTAAGTTTCTCCTCCAGCTTAAGGTATATGCTAAAAGATCCAAAATCTTTTGGCATTGGATAGGACTTACAATTGATAAAATCATAGTTCAATCAATATGAGAACATAAAGAAAACATATAACATTTTCTACTTAAGTTTTTTTATTTTTATTTTATGTTCACCACCTCTTTGATGCATTCATTGTTTTCCTAACAGGGTCTAAACCAAATCAAGTTGCCCCTCTCTTTAACTTCTTTCACAATTTCCAATCTTTTCTTAGTTGATCACATTTTTTCTTAATTGAGTTTTATAATAGAATATTCCTATTTTTATGAAAGTTTTTTTATTATTTTTTTCCAACGTTCTTTATTGAAGCATGTCATGAGTTGGTTGTCAATTTTGATATCTTTCAAACATAAATCGTATAATATAATCTTCATCTCCCTCTCCCAAATGATCGATATACCACAATTATTTTATTTCCTATCATTAAGATAAAAAATTTTGAAGAAATTATATAATTTAGCTTGTAACTAAGAAATTAATTTAAAAATTTTTAACAAAAAATTTAAATGAACAACAGATCAAATTAGAGCTCAATAAATCAATTTATCAAAAAAGGGTCCATTCAAGATCACCAACTGTATCATATAGGCTTTAAGATCAGGTTTTATTTATGGTTAACAGTGTGATGTATGCTTTAAGACTTGATAGTATCTATGGTTACAATATGATGTGTGCTTTAAGACTAAGTAATATATATGGTTAATTGTATCATGTGTGCTTTAAGATCAACTGATATTTGTGGTTAATTGAGTGATGTGTGCTTTAAGACTAGATAGTATCAGTAATTAATAGTGTGATGTATGCTTCAAGACCCGGTAGTATTTATAATTAATAGTGTGATGTGCACTTTAAGACTAAGTAGTATATGTGATTAATAGTGTCATATGAACTTTCAAAACAGACAGTATATGTGGTTAATTGAGTCATGTATGATTAAAAATTAGGTAGTATTTATGGTTAACTGTGTTATGTATACTTTAAGACCATGTAATTTATGTGATTAAGTGTGATTGCAAACAAGAAAGGACAATTATATGAATCATAGATGGTGATTGACTGAACTATTTGTTTTTTTTCGCATCATTACCCTGCATAACATTACAAAAAACAAAGCCATTAAGACACGCATTACATTAATGAATGCTTAATAGTTCATTTGTTTGTATGCAAAGTATCAACCAAACGACACCCAAAACCAACAATCATCAATGCAAAACCACAACCATTAATGCAAAGCCACAACTAAAACCACAACCAAATCCTATCAATAGCCAACATTACAAAATCATATCCACACCCACAACCAACATTGCAAAACAACACCCACACCCATTGCTTGTAGCCAACAAAGACCACAAAAGTGCACCCACAACCAACATCCATCAATCCAAAACCACAACCGACCACAACCACAACTGCATCACATATAACCTAAGAAATTACCATAAATCACATCATATAAACCAAACCTTGTTAATTAAATACCAACAAGCCACACCCACAATTATCATTGCAAAACCACACCCACGCCTATAGCTATTAGAGACCAACAAACAACACTCATGAAGAAAATGACATTGCAAAACCACAACCAAAACCCCGTGTAACCCTAAATCATAATTGTAGAAGAAAAAACACAAAGCCTCAAACCACAACCACAAAAGAAAAATGAGAGGCCAAAACTGACAACCACAAAAGAGAAAAGAGAAGCCAAACCTTCTTGTAACACTGAACAAACTAGTATTGTTCAAGCTAAATATATAGGTGTGGCAACGAAAACAAGAATGAAGTGAAGACCATCACGAGCTATGCCCTGGTCCCGAATGCTCACAACGAATATGGAGGGATACGAAAGTAGCACGAGTAATATCGCGGATAACAAGAGAAAATTTTGGAAAATACAAGGGGCACAAAGGTCATTTCCCATCCAAACTGCAAATCGTTCCACATAACCAAGCTTCTTCGTTCTCGGCTTTCGTGTTTTATAATAGGATTTCACGAAATGCACCCAAAAAGTTGGATCCCAAACTAATTCATACGTGCTTTTCAAAATGAAAAACACCCAAAAAAACCTTCACTAAAACACCCTTAGACTTAGATCTCCTATTACATAAACATTTTAACGATTAGTCTTTATTATTTCTAACTGAGTAATGAGTCAAAGACTTTTACATAGACATCTGGAGGACTTTACCGTTATTATCATTCTCATCGCTCATCATGGATCATGACTAGCCAGTAGCCACCAATAGATTAATATTATATATAATCTTCAAACAAATAGCTATAAACCTCACATCCTATACTAGTTTGAAGGATAGATCCATAGCTGCAATAGTAAGGAATTCCACTTCCATTAACTGTACTTGTAATTTTTTTTATGATTAGGTTGCTCAATATCCATAAACACTAACATCCCTTTTATCACCCTGAGTTTGTGTGTGCTCACTAAAGAACCCCTTCAAATCATATTTACTTACAAATTGTTCGTACAATTGTTAATCATCTCATTTTTCTCTCTATGATCTTTCCATCATTTTTCTCATGGCCAACAACTCACAATGATGAGCTTCTAGCTTCCTATATATTTAATTCGCATTTACCGCTGATGAAGTTATTAGCGCTGGCAATTAGAGCTAAATATTAAAAACCTTACTATAATTTTACATTATAAAAATGCATAAAATTTAAATTTAAACAAGGCATTTGTGAATTCAAAATAAAACCACGTTGAGAGTTAATTAATAATAAATATTGTATACCGAAAATACCTCAGCTCAAATCCCGAAGCAATCAACGGTTGAGCAAAGAGGCAAGTGAAGGGTCGGACGATCAATGAACAACTGGGCAATCCGTCACTTACAACGGTCATCCGATCGGTCGACAATTCGGTGGTAAGATGATCACAGTAAAACGAGCCTAAGGACCAAATCACCTCATGATATGATGATTGGCTCATGGCAGAGCCGGACAATTGACGACACTATTACCGATCGGGCATTGACATGGCAATCCAGAGACGAAGGCTGCGTTCTATTCATTGGGTGTGATTCCCAGATGTCTTTGGATTCAATAGATAAGAAATTATTTACTTTATTCGATGTTATCATGCAACCTTGATATAATTTTATTCTTTTCTAAAGATAGCATTCATGGGAATTATGGCACTGATGTTGAAATTTGAGTGTTAATCAGATGTGAGTTGGAAACCTGGTCATGCGGCATATCCAACCTATTGTAAAAAAAAAAAAAACTTTTGAGCGGCACCGGCCAATGCCGTTGGGCACACGCCAGAATATAACCATTAGTTTAATTTTAAATTAATATAATATTCAAATTTTTATTCAATATTTATCAATACATCTATCTTAAACGAAGAGACGAATTCAAAATTAATATGTTTTGCTCCTTACTCGATCTTTGGGTTATTTTCATCAACCAAAAAGTAGAAGGAAATCATGCAAGCCATGTCAGATTTACAGACAAAAACTCTGATCTGAAGCAGAACCAAAGTTCGTTGAAAATCAGTAGTAGGCCATAAGAAGCTTTTGAGGTTCACATTCATTCAAACAGTTAATAAGTGCATAAATATAAACAAAGAGAAGTAAAAGTCATATTTGATATTGACATAAAAAATTCAGATCTAAAAAGACAACCCATATTTACATTTGGTTGGTTGGTTGGATGAATGATGGATGAATGGGCGGCTCTGTGGTTACAGAAGAATGCCAGTCCCTGATGAACCAGAAAATTAATTATTATGAACTTTATGGCTTCTTCTGAATCTGTGTAATAAAATTAAGCAAGCAGCTTAAAAAGCTGTGTCATCCCTGGAAATGGCGGGCGCAGAAGAAATTTCTTGAAGCTTTAATTTAGTGATAGGGACCCCCATAATTTAATAGAGATCTTGCATCAGAACCATCAGCTTTAACAACTGAACCACCGTTGGAAGTCATTCCTGCCACCAGAATTGGAAAAAAATTATGTTTTTGTTGCAGATTTGGAGAAAACTCAAGGAAAAAAAATTACACAAGGAAACTTGAAGAAATAAAATAAAAGTTGATAAACAGAGAGGAACCAACAGAGATGCATATTTGAATTCTGCTGCCACTAGACTATAATATCATATCCAAAATATACCACTAATAAAAAGGATTTGATTGAATTTGGCAAAATTGATTGGAGAGATGATTTTACTATGTTATTTTATTCTTTTTAATAAGTATTTTAAAACATCCATTATGTAATTATTATATATTATTTTGTTATTTTTAAATAAATTTATGATTTATCATGTCATCACGTTGAGGTTCAACATTTGAACCTTGAACCTCTTACTTAACCAGACCAATGTCCGGTCCGATTTTCAAAGCCTTGATTTTATGTGTTAATTACATAAATTAATTTAATTAAAGAACCGCTAATGTTATATCAACAGTTCTATGACTTAATTTTAGTGATTTTAATTTCACCAACACAATAGAATCAAAGGGCAAGAGAGATTGAAAAATAATAGAATTAAAGGATGAGATATGGAAACATGATTTTGTAAGAGGAGGCAACAATTTATGTATTTATTTACGTGTTGTTTTATTTATATGTCATTTTGTAGATATTAAGTTCTCATGATTAAAGTTAGTGATAACATTTGGAAGAATGTTTATTCATTTTGTAGATATTTAAGTTCTTATGATTAGAGTTAGTGATAACATTTGGAAGAATATTTATGTTAAGAAGATATCGGAAGAAAGATTATCAAATTAATAAATTATATGATAGAGAGTTATTTTAGAAATAAAACCCTTATGTAAGCACTTTCAATTGATATAGGTGACACTAAGAGAAAAATTAAGTGAAGGAATAAGCACATAAAGAGATCGCCTAAAGGCTGGAGGTGAGTAATTTTATTTTTAATTTTAAGTAATTTTCATTATTTCTAAATGTACGTTTGATTTCATTTATGCTGGATTCCAGTGATATTTATATTATAATAGATTCTTTATATTTTAGATAGGAAAATTATGCATATTAAACAATTGCATTATAGTTTTCATAAGAATAGTTTTTATAACTACATGACATATATATTCCAGTAGAAGTGCATATATCATTTTATTGCATAACATATAGATTTAGTAAGATTATATTTATTTATCGGTAGATATAGGTAAAGTGTTTCATAAACAAATAATATATGTATGAAAAACAAAATGGTGTATATATGAATACTCGTATATTCATGCTAAAAGGAGTTCACCCCAATATGGAACAAACATGAGATGTCAATGCACCTGTGCGCATAGATGTTATCCTTCAACCCTAAAAATTGTGATGTTTAGATCATTATTTGTTGTGTTGATAGAAGAATATCAGTCAGGGACGAGTATGCACTTTCCCACCTCAAATAATCGTGTAAATTAGATCACGAACAGCTATGCTGACGGGATGATATCAGTCAGGGATGTGTTAGGTTATGTTTTAACGATGATCCTAAGACATATATGGATGTTAACAGCATTGAGTAAAAACAAAGTTAAAGACTAAACTTTGGAAAATAAGGATAAGGTTTGCAAATAAAAGTTTTATATCATCCTCATTGAGTAAATATCATTGACACATACATTAGATTATTATAAGATCTCATATAGTATAATATGAAAAACCAGCATACATATTATTTTCTTTTCCTAAAGTTAATGTAGTCTAGAAGTGTGATTGCTCTTAAATTATCATTAGATAACTCATTATATTATTTTAATATTATTCATGCTTTAAGCTTTTGAATAAAATGAATAAAAGAAAACCAATATATACAGAAAACGAGGTCAGAAACCAAAAAGGTAACCTTTATTTGTTAATAATTTTTTATTTATTTAGTGATTCATTCAATTAATTTTTATTTATATTAAATTATTAGTGATAGAATTAAAAATATAAATATTTATTTATACCGTTCAACCGTTTGTTCCCGTCTTGATTAATTTCAAGTCTCGGGTTAGGTCGTGACAGTTAGATATGTAAAGTACATAAGATTTTTGCGGTATGTACATAAATTTTCCAAATGATGAAAATATTAAAATAAAAAAAAGCTATAAAAAAATAAGCCTAGTCCACCGGTAGCCCAATGGAAGAGGGGGCTTGAATTTTTAGCGGGCATCGAGGATTAAAATCAACATATATTCAATTGGTAAGTATTATGCTTTGGCACTCATCATTCTCAAAACAAAAATTAATAATTTTAAATATATATATATTTATCATTGAAAATTAGCATAAAGAAAAAGTTAAATTCTCAATAACCTGTCAACCGCCCGAAGGTTTAAAGACAAATCAAAATATACTTGTCCACACAAAATAAGCATGTAGCATCTACCACGAAAAGAATATGAGGAAAAAAAATAAAGAAATGAAAGATGTCTAAAAGAGGAACAAGTGCTTCTGTACAAATAACTTCATATACTACTACTACTGTGTTGTGTTAAAAATAGATGAAACAACTTGATAGTATATAAGGTTATTCAAAAGGGAACATCTAGACACTCAAGTTCCATAGCTAAGGTTACAGCATACCATCCACTGAACCCTACAATCAAATGGCACAGTGGATGATTATGCTGTAACCTTTTTGTGATCCTTATATTGATAAAGGAAGATCCAAGACATTTTTTATTCATTCATTTCATCAAGTGAATCCAAAAAGCTTCTTCACCAAATATTCTTGCTTCCTCTTCTCACATCTAGCCAAAAGCCTTTCCTCTATCTCATTTTCCACCAATATTCTCCCTCTCAGCAAGATGCTAGCTATCCCTCTCTCTTTCTCTACTACCCTCTATATCTACTCTTTCAACCCAACAGAACAATAAGGGAGACATTCTTTGGATGCAAGAAAAGAGAACAAATAAAGAGCAATAAAAGCATGAAGGCGAAGAAGCAAAAGTATCTAGAAGATGAGAAAGATGAAGAAATCAAAGACTGAAATATTTAAATCCTTCAAAATTTAGCTCGGACTGAATATTTATATAGAGTACATAATGTATGAAAAGAAAATATTTTAGTATTTATACTTAATTAAAAATAAGTTTAAATCAACTGAAAATCAAATCATGTCAAATGAAGCCAAGTTGACTTGAAATGATCTGGATTCTGTGTTTAAATTGAGTTTAACTTGCCCTAACTCGAGTTGATATCACGCCTAAGGCTACCCAAAACTAAATATGTTTCACATGCTCTACAAGTAATGAACCAAGCAACTAATTGGGCATTACTTGGACAACAAATTCACCCAAACAAGTGCTACACATGGACCCGATTAATTATAAACTACAAATAGCTATTCATCTAAAACTAAAATGCTCAAATCTATACCATGTTATTTATCTTCCAAGTAGGGCTGTCAATTTGGCTCTTTGTTCGGAGCCGTATACGGCTCGTTAAGCAGCTCGTGTTCGGCTCGTTCGTTAACCTTAACGAGCCAAACATGAACAAATTTTAAGCTCGAAATATAAACAAGCCAAACACGAACTAACATTTGTTCGCTCGTGTTCGGCTCGAATTGGCTCGAAAATAAATAAATAAATAAATATACACACACATATAATACATATTCATAAAATTAAATATTATAAATTGTAATAAATTAAAACTTTTTAAAATAAAAAGATTTATCAAATTTTTAAAAATTAAATTCTATAAATTATAATATATAACAAATTATTAATAAATATTACTTATATAAATATTATATATTTATATAATATAAATTATATAATTAATATAAAATAAGATATAAGTATATAACTAAAAAAATCCTAAGCACCGACCTCCCATTCCCCTCTCGAATGTTCTCGGGTTCGGCTGCCTCTCCATCTTCCGAGTCTTCTCCTTCCCCTCAAAATCGCGAAAGGCTTTCGGCCGCAAGAGCTTAGGGTTTGTCGTTTGTGTTGGCTGCTCTCAAAAGTTCTATTTCGGCTCTCTTCCTCTTTCGAGTCATTTACTTCTCTCAAAATCGCGAAAGGATTTCGGCAGCGAGAGCTTAGTGTTCGTTGTTTGTGTTCTTCGTCCTCTTCCTCTTCCTCTACAAGTCATCTCCTTCTCCAATTTCGAGCCAAACACAAATAGGAAAATAGTATTCGAGCCGAACACGAACACACGGTTCACGAGCCATTTCGAACATGAGCCAATATCGAACGAGCCGAACATGAGCCGACCTTGAGCGCTTACATCCCTACTTCCAAGAACCCTTGCAAAGATTCACCCACTGGAGAATAACAATATCTAAGTAAAGTAAGTATAGTGGTTGATGAAGACGGATGAGAATCTTTTTCTTGAGAAATATGAAGAAAATTTTGCGAAACCTTTTCACCACGTCCTAGTCATGTTAACCGGCCAGTATCACCATTTGCTAACTCTTAAAAAACATAAAAATCAATCTATTGTCATGAAAAAATTACATCCAAAAAACTAAATAATTCTTCCCTTATTATTGCTTTACTGCTTACTGTAAAGGGTAAACATGTTTTGTTCTTTCATTTCAAAATACAAAAGGCAGAATCTTCTCAACCATTTTTTGTTAGAGTTTATAATAAATAGCTCAGTTTTATCAGGTTACAGAACAAACTCAGCAACAACATCCATTTACATAACCCAAAATATATTCAAAGTTGACAGCATAAGAAGATATTTCGTACCCTATATTGAAAGGGATATAGCAAAATTAACCACCGTTGTTGGGAATTTTAATCCTAGAGCATTGATAAATCCCTTGCCCATTTCACAGTCATTGTTGGGTCTCAAGCCTTGGATGCAAAAAATAGAAGATTGTGTTAGGTAGTTGGCAACCAACGTAAATTTTTTATCGAATAATCATGACATGAATACTTTAATTTTTTGTGTAAATGTTAGGGCGTCCATTGGAAGCGACATGCTATATAACATGAATACAGTGAAAAAGTATACAAG